AAGTGCAACAAAAAAACGCAAATTGATTTTTTTTATAATGTAATTTGACCTGTTAATAAATGCCATTTATTTGACATTGCCTTTGTCACAATTCACAATTTCACAATTTGTCAGGTATCTTCCAAACTTTTATCAAGATTTCTCATGTTTTTCCATTTCGTTTTTAACACAGACTATGACACTGCACTGACAAGACCATCAAATATGACATTACTTTTGATAGTTTTCTAACCATTTTGGGAACAACTTTTTTCACACAATGTAAATCTCTGAAAAATTTGACAATTTTGTTTTTGACAATTTGCGTTTACTTGGTATTTTTCTCTGGGACACCTGTATGTATGTATAGTTGAAGACAAAATACTTTGGTCGTCAATGTCACTTGAGTGACATTAAATTGTAAAGCATGCTTTAGGACTGTTAACCATATTTGCAGCTACTGTCAATCATAGTTGACAAGTTGTATGTACATATTTTTGATAGGTAAGTATATTAGCTGTCATTAATTTGAAATTGTCATTTATTTTAACGTTAAAGTTTGAATTACATTAAAGTGTCAGAAAAGTGACGACCAAAGTATTTTGCCTCCAACTGTACCCAAATAATTTTATAATTATAATTATTGTCAAAATTTTTTGAGTCTATTAAATACTAATGGGGAGTTAAAGAAAAGTGCTCTTAATTTAGCTTTAAAAAAACTCTTTTTCATTAGGCATGTTAATTATTTAGTGGATTGCAGTGATGCTCTACAAATTTTCACTTTTTTTTGTAGATAATTCTGGAAACATAAGTAGACGCGACATCTATCTAAAGAAGTACTAACTACCACTAATCATGTAGAAATCTGTTCAAAAAATGCGCGCAAAGGAAATCGTTTTAACGGTCATCTTGTCTCCGCATTGAGATACAGTACAAGTGTTTATCATCGTTTGTGACAAATCACAAGTTAATTTACAACGTAAAGTGCATGAAGTAAATTGCTGCAATTGTGTTAATAGGTATTTGATATAATTTGTAGAAATAACGATTAAAATTGAACGTACTTTTGAAATAACGATAAGGAACCGTCATTCATACGTTAACAGCGTATGAATTTTGCCTTCCTGCCAGTTTAATCATCCTACATGTGGTGTTAGCCGGCTGATTGCAAGAACCAATTAATTAAAACCGTTAAGTTTACAATATTAGTCAGTAATTCTACAATAAGATGCATCAAGAAACACTCCAACTTATACAAGTGCTAGAAAAAACTGTTTCTCCCGGTAAGTACTAAACTTTTCACAATTTGTCAAGTTGCCATCATTCTTCAACCACTGCCATATAATCGTATGTGTAATCATCAAAAAAGAGCTTTTCTTAGAACCCCAACACATTTCTGTCTGTTCTGATAAATCCCAACCCGCATTTTGACATTTTATGACATTCCCAACTAGCCCCCCATCTCGTCCATTTCAGTTCAGAACCTGATGATGTCGCCACACCGACGACAAAACGTCGCTTTTTTCTCAAAACGCAACATTGCACAAGTTTTAGTAGTTCAGAAACAGTCTCTGATTTTTTATTGGGTCATAACCTCACAATTTTCGAGGTCATTATCCTCAGTGATTTTCCGTTAATCACAAACCTATTTGATCATTTTCAGATAAAAATGAATTGGAGCAAGCATCAACATTTCTTGAACAAGCCGCTGCCGCTAATATCTTAGAATTTATTAAAACTCTATCCGATATCCTACGACATGGGGGCAACAGTCCTGTTGCTCGCATGGCTGCCGGTCTCCAACTGAAAAACCAACTCACTTCCAAAGATCCCAACATCAAACAGTTATGTCAACAGAGATGGCTGGCCGCACCAGAGGAAATACGCAACTACATCAAGAAAAACGTAATTATTTTCTTTACCTGTTTTGAAAGGAGCCAAATTACATTTTTTAATCGGATTTTTTCCAACATTTGGAACCGCAACTAAAAACATTATAATTATGATTGATTAAAGAGATTATGATTTCGTTCTCTAGGTTGTGGGTGCCCTTGGCACAGAGACCAACCGGCCTTCRTCAGCAGCCCAATGCGTGGCTTACATCGCAGTCACCGAATTACCCCATCACCAATGGCCAGACCTAATTGTAACTCTAGTGAACAACGTAGTCCAACCAAACTCCACCGAAATGCAGAAAGAAGCAACTCTGGAAACTATTGGTTATATCTGTCAAGAAATCGATTCAGATGTACTCGTTACTCAATCCAACGACATTCTCACAGCGATAATTCATGGAATGCGTTCTACAGAGCCCAGCAATCATGTCAGATTCGCAGCAACGCAGGCGTTGCTGAATTCTCTTGAATTCACCAAAGCCAACTTTGAAAAGGCCACAGAAAGGAATTTCATCATGGAGGTGGTGTGTGAAGCCACTCAATCACCGGATACGCAGATTAAAGTAGCTGCGTTACAATGTTTAGTTAAGATTATGTCTTTGTATTACCAATATATGGAACCCTACATGGGACAAGCTCTCTTTCCAATTACATTAGAAGCGATGAAATCTGACAATGATGCGGTGGCTCTACAGGGTATTGAGTTTTGGTCAAATGTTAGCGATGAAGAGGTCGATTTGGCCATTGAGGCCAATGAGGCGGCCGATGCAGGGCGGCCCCCCGCTAGGTAAGTAAAACGTTTTTTTTTCGTACAAAATGCTTTCAAAAATTACAAATGCCTAAGTTACTTTCGATTTAAGCAGCAATGTATGATTTTTTTTATAATGATAAATTTGTCGAATTCACAATGCACATTTTTMATAGATTACAGAATTAAAAAAAATAGATTGGTAAATTTCAAGTTATTCAGTTAGATAACAAATTATTATTAGATATTCTATACAAAACTGAAACTGAAAAACGCCTTAATTATTAACAAAAATTAAAACATTTTTACGGTTTCAAAGCACTATGCAACTATTAGAGGAATTGGATTGATTGTAGGCTTGAGGAATTTTAATAATAAATTTTTTATAAATATCGATTGATTTTTTTAAAACACACTTTTATTTGCTATTTTTGTGATCAATAAAAGACTTGTTTTGATATTATTTTTCTTGTAATGTGGGTTTGAAACGTCAAAAAATAGATAAGTGTTAAGTCAACAAGCCTATTATTAGAACATTATTATTCATTGTGCTGTTACGCTGAACTCAAATCTTACAAACGCATTTCCGTTAATCTGACTCAACTGTCAGAAATTTACCGAATATTTTTTACAGAGTTTCACGACACTACGCTAAAGGTGCGCTTCAATTTATCGTACCCATCCTTCTCCAAAAACTAACGAAACAAGAAGAGCTCGACGACGAAGACGACTGGAATCCGAGCAAAGCTGCAGGCGTCTGCTTAATGCTTTTGGCCACATGTTGCGAAAACGAAGTTGTTCCACACGTTTTACCTTTCATCAAAGAAAACATAAAGTCTGAGAATTGGCGGTTTAGAGATGCGTCCCTTATGGCTTTTGGTTCGATTCTTGGAGGGTTGGATAACACTACTCTGAAACCATTGGTGGAGCAAGCTATGCCGACTTTGATTGAGCTGATGTATGACAGTAGCGTTATTGTAAGAGATACTGCGGCTTGGACTTTTGGTCGAATATGCGAAATTATTCCCGATGCAGCTATTAATGAAAATTATCTTAAGCCCTTGTTGGAAAGCTTGATTAATGGTCTTAAGGCTGAACCGCGAGTTGCGGCTAATGTCTGTTGGGCGTTCTCTGGATTGGCTGAGGCCGCCTACGATGCAGCTGAAACTAATGAAGACACGGGGACTCCTGATACGTACATGTTGTCACAATACTTTGAGTATATAATTCAACGGCTTTTGGAGACTACGGACCGTCCAGATGGCGCTCAAGCTAATCTCAGACCGGCAGCCTACGAGGCCTTGATGGAAATGGTGAAGAATTCCCCAAAAGATTGCTACGTCACTGTTCAAAAGACCACAATGGTGATTCTCGAACGTTTGCAACAAGTTTTACAAATGGAGACACATATTACAAGCCACAATGATAGATCACAGTTTAATGATCTCCAGTCTTTGTTATGCGGAACACTTCAGTCTGTTTTGAGGAAAGTAACACCAGAGGACGCTCCGCAAATATCTGACGCCATCATGACAGCTATGCTAACGATGTTCAACTCTAATTCGTGCAAAAGTGGAGGTAAATATTTATAGTAAGTGTGAAAAATTCAGATAAATGTGTATTGTGTTTAGGTGTACAGGAAGATGCATTGATGGCAGTTTCAACCCTGGTGGAAGTTCTTGGTGAAGGTTTTCTCAAATACATGGACGCGTTTAAACCGTTCCTCTACATCGGCCTCAAGAACCACCAAGAGTACCAAGTCTGTGGTACCGCAGTTGGTCTAACCGGAGACATATTTCGCGCTCTCAAACTAAAAGCTCTTCCCTATTGCGATGAAATCATGACCCTCCTTCTAGAAAATCTCGGCGACCAGTCGGTCCACCGTAGCGTCAAACCCCAGATCCTCTCAGTTTTCGGCGATATTGTTCTAAGTATTGGTCCGGAATTTAAAAAATACCTCGAAGTGGTTCTCACGACACTAGCGCAAGCGTCTCAGGCACAAGTCGATCGAAACGATTTCGATATGGTCGATTATCTAAACGAATTGCGCGAAGGGGTACTTGATGCATATACGGGTATCGTACAGGGTTTAAAAGGCGATGGACCAACTCCTAATCCCGATGTTTTAATTCTCGAACCGCACATTCCTTTCATCGTTCAATTTATAACTGTGGTAGCACAAGATACGTTTCATTCAGATGCCACGGTGGCAGTTGCGGCGGGATTAGTCGGTGATCTCTGTACGGCTTTTGGAGCACCGCTTTTGCAGCTATTGGATTTGGAGCCGATCAATGAGATGTTAGCGCAAGGCAGACGAAGTGGTACCAACCGTACTAAAACTTTGGCCAATTGGGCTACGAAGGAATTGCGCAAGTTGAAGGCTAATTCGACGGCCGCCGTAGCTAGTTGGTAAGTGAGCGTGAACAGTTTTCAGCAGATCCAAATTGCATTGGTTTAGACCATAAACTCGTTAAAAATAAGATCGTTTGATTGGAGCAAACGCGAATTATTCATAATAAAAAATGTTTCTATAGTTAAACAAATGACGCAGTTGTATCTGCTGGCGTTTGGAGACTTAGCATTCGATTGTATGTGTCTCGCGTAAATCTGTGTGCTGAGCGAAGTTTGACAGTTGCTTTCGATGGTTTCAGATTTTCTTTGGCATGTTGTGGTTTAACAGAAGGAAATCTAACGAAGGTGTGGTCAACGGCATCGATATTGGATTCGCATTATATATAAAAACCAAAATTCTTTCAGACTTTAGTTTTCGTTTTGGCTGAGTCGGACCAGTTTTGTTCATGGGTCAAAAATAGGGGGAGGGGTGAATCGTTGGCTCATTGAGTAAAACTGGTCAGCTAGTTTGACATGGTATTGTTCCCCAATACTTTCGGTTTTCGGGGTGCAGAGTGAGTGCTGATGCATATGGACTCTTGATAAAACTGTGAGTGCTAATCGTAGCTGTGAACGCTTGTGAATAGTGTCTGAATCTTCGCCTGGTTTCGTGAAAGGCGGTTTAGCTCAAGACTGAAGAGTGAAGTGGTGTCTCCTCTATCACTTGTTGCGTCTTTTACGTTCGTCTTCACTTTAGTATTGTATTTGATTACAATAAAAGCATTTGTCTATTTCACATATCGAATTTATCATAAGTAGTTATTTTTATAACGGTCTTTGGTGAAGAAATTACGTATGCACTGCAGTCAGACAGAAGTAATCTTAAAAATCACAGTTTATTATTGCTTCTTTGTTTCACTGCAGTTTGTGTGTAATTTCATTAAGGAAAAAAACTAAAACTCGCTTTGGTGCTTCTTTAGATTTTGTGAATTTATATAACTTTTTCTCTTAAAAAGCGGAAGACTGCGATAATCAAAAAACTGTCCAGAGGAGCGTGTTTTGGTTTTTTCGTCATTAATTTTTTTGAAACAATTTTCAATTCACTGAATTCATACTCAGGAAATTTGAGAATAATAAATCTTGTGACTGGTATTTTTTATGAAAGATTTTTGTGAGGCCTGATTGTGCCTTGCATGGGTGGTGTATGAAAATTTTCGAGTTTTTCGTATAAGTCACGCTGATTAAAATATACGAAAGTGCTTGAAAGGGAGGGTGGGTATCGCAACAAAGTAAAAAAGAATCTGTGATTTGAGAAGGTTTCTGTAGTTGCCAAAAAACGAGAAAAATAAATTCAAATTCCATTAGTTTTTTAAATGCGTATAATGAAACCTTCTCAATGTTTTCGTAATTATAATTCTAGAATTATAATTATAAATTCCTTGTATGTGTGATATTTTTCCGTGGGCAATATTGAAATAAACCAATTTTTTTGTGTGTTTTTTTTTATCACTAGTCCAATAAGCGACCTTCGTTGTTTTAGAAGGTACATTAGCGATGGGTTATTTTAACTATTGCCCGCGTCTGGGTTCAAAGGCTGTATGAAACAATTTGTATAGTATGTAAGTAGTGTGATTGTTATTTTGTATGTAAGATGTATGAAYAATTTTATTATGAAGTAATATAAGTATTTCTACTGGCCTAAATTATTTATTAAAGCCTTAACTGTTTTATGCACACCGAAACATTTAATTTTAAAAAGCTCATTTTTTATGGTTTTCATTAACTTGTAAAGCACTTTATTTGTGAATTCGAAAGTTTTAATTTAGTGTACTAGACAAGTAAAGTGCCCGCTTCCAGCCGAAAGTGTGATTTTACTTCATGATCTTTTTACAGTTATTTCGAATTAGCAAATCTATGAATGTTCATGTGCAAAAAGGTTGCGTTAAAATTCAGTTGGAAYGATTTTGAGTGGAAATGTTTATGATTGCATATTTTATTGGTTGAATGTTTTGTTTTGATTGTGCCATGTTGATTGTTAATCTGTAATCACCCCAAATGCACCGATGTTTGACAATATAGTTTTCTGTATGTTCTGAAGACTGAATTTTTAAGTAAATAGCCTAGTAAAGCTCAAATGCCGTATGAAAGTTGACGTATAATGCGGCTTATTCCAAACTTCATATTGTCGAACACCGGTTACTTTTCTTCTTTTCCTTAAAAATGTTACCATGTCTAGGGTGCCTATTGACCAATTCATCAAAATTATGTATTAGATTTTAATTTTTGTTAAGTTAAATTTCCTGCACGCCGTTTCAGTTAGAATATTTCACTTTTTAAATTCCCTCCCAAAACTCTTGGGATCACTCCCGCAGAATTGGGATTTTTGTAGTTGTACGGATAATAAATGTTTCCTTTCTTTACACACTGTTTTCTTTACATCCAGCCACACCAAAATTTCTCAAAATTTTAAAGGTAAGACTTTTCGAATAAATTCAGGGTTGTGTCTGTGTCGTGTTGCATCGCCCCTATTTCATTCTCATCGCCCCATTCATTATATGATTAGTGATTGATTTCAGGCAAACGGGACATAATCTCATAAACCTCACTCCTAAGTCTTCACTTATAAATTCAACAATGGTCGTTCAGTGTTGCGCAAAATGGATCAAAATGAACACAACCATAATGTAAGTACTATTTTTATCATCCAACCACTCGTAATGAAAAATTCTAGGACTTTCTTGATCTAGACGACCTTTTACCCCAAGTGGGCGAATTTGGTCGATACCAAAAACTACTTCTCTGCCTCATCTGCCTTCCTGCATGTCTTCCATGCGGGTTTTGCGCCTTCAACCAATTATTCATGACCGAAACACCTGACCACTGGTGCAAAACACCCCAAGTACTCAACCTCACACAAGAAGAACGAAGAAACCTCTTTATTCCCAAAGACAACAACTCTTTTTCCAAATGTCTGAGATACACAATTAACTGGACACATATTTCCGACAATTTTGACAATATCTCTTCGCGTCCTACTGAAGAATGTACCGAGGGATGGCAATTTGACGAAGCCGCCTATTCTAGCATTGTCACTGATGTACGTACTCAAAACAAACCAATATTTTGAATAACGATAGTTTCAGTTTGAACTAGTTTGTGACAAAAGTATATACCCCACTTTGGGTCTTGTGGCCTTAAATCTAGGGGGACCAGTGGGAGTCTACTATTTCGGGATGCTGAACGACAGCATAGGTCGCAAAAGATCATTTTTTGTGTGTCTCACGATCCTACTTTTTGGGAGTGTTTTAACAGCAACGGCCCAAAATTTCTGGTGGTGGGCTGCTAGTAGAGTCATTGTGGGGCTTACGATACCTGCGATTTACCAAATTCCGTTTATTATTTGTGAGTAACTCGCTCAAATATAAAAAAAAAACAATCAAAGTTTTGCAGCTTTGGAGCTTGTAGGTCCCAATTACCGGTCATTTGTCACAGTCATGATTTGCTTATTTTATACTTTGGGCTTATTAATGTTAGCTGGTGTGGCATATTTGGTACGAGATTGGGTCTATTTTGCCCTTTCGACCTCACTTCCGTTCATCCTGTACTATTTTTACTGGTTTTTCTTACCGGAAAGTCCGAGGTGGTTGTTAGCAAAAGGCCGATTTGAGGAAGCTTCCAGAATTTTAGAATCTTTGGCTCGGGTTAATAAGCAAGAACTGCCGTCGAGTTTTAAGCAACAATTGAAGCAAAAAATGTTACGTACAAGGACTTTGAGTGAAGAGGAAAGTTATAAAAAGATACCAAACTGTACTGAACTTTGCGCTACACCAAATATGAGATTAAAAACCATTTTAATAACACTAAATTGGTTTGCAAATGAGGTGGTTTACGTCGGGTTGAGTTATTATGGGCCATCGTTGGGGAATAACGAATATATGAGTTTTTTTCTGTCTTCGGCGATTGAAATTCCCAGTTATTTTATCTGTTGGTTAGTAATGGACCGGTGGGGGAGGAGATGGCCGCTATGCTTATGCATGATCATTAGTGGAATTTGCTGTATTACCACATTTCTTCTACCTGAAGGTAAATTAATTTTTAAATTTGTTTTAAGCTAAATCTTATGTGTTATAGGTTCAGTCGGATTGATTTTAGCATTTTTTTTAATGGCCAAGTCTACGATTGCCGCCTCGTTTCTTATTATTTATCCTTTTGCAGGGGAATTGTTTCCAACACAGTTGAGGGGTTTGGGAATTGGAGTGTCTGCTTATATTGGCGGAATAGGCCGAATTGTAATTCCATTTATAACGTTTCTAGTAAGTATAATTGAGTCAAAATATTTTATATTCAAAGTTCAATAACATTTAACTCTATTTAGGTCATACAATTTGAATAATTTTTGTTTTTCCGGTCGCAATAAAGTTCTATGCTTTTTGCATGGCTTAATTGTGTTTTTTTATGAGAAAGAATGAATAGCAACAATAATTTTATTTTGATTTTTAATAATAAGGAACCTTTTTTTTATGAATTAACAACCTTTTTTTGATAAATTAACAATCAACAAGAATTATTTGTAAATAAAATAGGAAATAGTCAAGTCGCTTTTAATAAAAAATTATCGAAATTTAGATTTTTTGAGTGTGTATAGTAAATAGCTGCGTAATTATTAATAAATTAGTATACCAGGTGAATAAAAAGTATGGAACCAAAGGTTTGTGCTTAAACTATTTATTTTTTGAAAAAAGTAATTGATGATTGATAAAGTACTATAAAAATGTGATGATTTAACAAGAATAAAATTTTTCGAAATTTCCTTTTCTTTTTGAGTTCTACAAAAAAAAATATTTTTTTAAATGGCAACCCACTATAAAATCATTTTTCTCATAAAAGGTATATTCTAAGGATTACAACTATCTGCTTTATATTTAATTTTTTCATAAAAAAATTTTCAGATAAATTGCAATTTTGACAAAAAAAACTCGCGTAACTCAAAAATAAAACAAAATTTCGTTCTGAAAATACGATCACATTTTTTATATTACTTTAATTTATATTAATTATTATTTTCTGGAGGCAAATGATCAAAAATAAAAACGCTTCGTTCCATACTTTATTTCATTCTGTATGTGTGGTGTACATTTGAGGGGTCAGAAATGGTGGTGTTACCGCTACTTATCATGGGAATTATCTCTGTGATTGGTGGATTGATTGGTCTGCGTTTACCCGAAACTCTGCATTACCGTCTACCTCAAACTCTAGAAGAAGGAGAGGAATTTGGAAAAGATTTTACAATAACTGATTGCCTTCGATGTATCCCTATAAAGTACGTCAACTGAATGTAAATTTCTATTTTTTATTTTTTCAAATCTAGACCAGAAACTTCTACTTCAGCGTCAGAAGATTTAGAACTAGAACCTATAAATTCTGAAGCACAGGAAGACACGCCTTTGAGTCGTTCAGCACGTCGAAAAATATCAATTCACAGATTAGCAAAACAAGCCAGCGTCATGGATGCTCCAAAAGATGCAGACGGAAGCATGAAAATTACGAATTGGTTTTAATTATTTTGTATTATTTTAATACATGTTTCTTTACAAAATGATTTTTATTTATCTTCCCTCAAACAAAATCAAGAGAAAAAAGTGAAAGTAAGAAAGGTAAACTGTAGGGACTTTCTGACTCAAAGTTCTTTACAGCAGCTGTGTGGGATTTGTTGGACAGCCTGTATGTAATATTGTCAAAAATCGTATGTTATCACGTCAAAGTCCATACTCTGAGTAATTGTTGTCAAAAAGAATGCATTTTGTGGCTTGATTGTAACAAGGACACATGCTTAATTAGTTCCTTCTTATTAATTCAGTGCGATTTAGGTTATAATTGAAATGTGAACCGAAAAAGAGGTAATTAAGTGCGTAACTTAACCTATGAAACGTTGCACTTAAAATGATATTTTTGTATATGTAGTCGACCTCCAAGCCCAACCCTTTTAATCTATCCAAAAATCGTTACACGATTTGTTAATTACTGAAATAGTTGGAAGAAAAACAGTGCGTAAGTGCATTTTTTCCTTGTGGAGTTCTAATAAATTCATAACTAAACTGTTTGTTTATAAGAATGCAACCTTGCTACACTTTTTCATTATCTCCTTTGTTTACAATTAATACTTCAGTTATAAATACACGAGTGTGTTGTTAAACAGCAACCGCTTTGAAACTGTTCTAGAGTATCAAGACATTATGAGAAGATGAACCCAGATGAATATGACTTTCGTCGAAATATCCCCAACAAAGAGCCCTCCAGCGAGGCCCTACACTTTATTCGGGGCCTTGAAGACAGGAGTCTAAACCACCTAAAGAAGAACATCAAGGCAAAAGTGAGCAGAGAAGTATTTGCTGAAGATGAACTGGTCAGAAAAAAGTGTTATGACGAAATGCGGTGCGAGATGCCCGGTCAACCCAGGTCCACATTTCTCATGGTTTTTAGCCCTGATGGAACCAAAGTTGCTTCCACTCATGGCAATCACAATATTTACGTTACGGATATCAAAAGCGGGAAAAACATTAAAACACTGACAGGGCACCCTAGGACTCCTTGGTGCATTGCTTTCCACCCAACTTCCAACCAAATTGTGGCGTCGGGATGCTTGGGAGGAGAAGTCAGGATCTGGGATCTGAGTGTATTTTTTTAAATTTATTGTTGTTTTTGAGCTATTTTTCGCGATTTTAGGGGGGGAGCGAGGTTTGGACTGCTGGTAATCAATCCGTAATTGCGTCTATTGCTTTCCATCCCAATGACCGGATTTTGGTCATTGCGACTTACAATGAGTTGTATTTTTGGGATTGGAGCATGCCTGAGCCATTTGTCCAAGTGGCGACAGCTAATCCCAAAGAAAAAGTGCTTTTGATTTTTTTGATTAATTATTTGTGTTCTATCTGAATTGATTTTAGATTAGATATGTAGCGTTTGATAAGTTGGGTCATAAACTGATTACCGGGATTGCGAATAGTCCCCAGACAAGGTGGGAAAGAGTTAGGGCTCCTGTCCCAGTACCAAGACAAGCAGAAAGGTCTGCCAGCCCCTACAGACTTAGAATTACCCCAAGACTGGTCAACACACCCTCACCACCTGAAAGAACCTATTTTAATGTAGGGTTACGTCCCGTATGTGTTTATTTACAATTTAATTGGATATTTGTACTAATTTTGAATTAATAGGAACAACCTAGCGTTGTTGAAACCACTCGTGAGGCACTTTCTAGCGTTCCTGAACGAGAAAGACGAATTACAGCGTCCTACAGAAACCTTCTTAGGGAATACGAACAGTTGGTTCAACGCTATTTAAAAGTTTACAAACCTCCAACTATGGCAAGTCAACTTAATATATTTTTTTTAATCTCATTTTTTATTAATTTTGGTAGATTGATCGCGGCACTGATCCCATGGAACCCAACGCTACTAGCGCCACTAGCAGTACCCAAGCACCCGAATCTGAACCCAGCACTTCTGGAACGAACAACCCATCAAACTTAACCGAATCTCAACCCTCAACCTCTCAAAATTACAGTTCCTCCCTTGTGATGCCAAGCCGTATTTTAGCAATGAAAAAACAACCAACGGAAGCTCACAGTACTCAAACATCAGACTCAAGGAAACACAAATCGTCCGAAAATACACAAGAGTCGACTCAAGAAAAACGAAGTAAATCTAACGATTCTGGACCGAGTTCACATACAGAAACAGCGACCCAAACTCAGAGTCCTAGGAGGCTGCTTGTAATAAACGAGAGGCCCCAACCAGAACCTTCGACAAGTGGATTGCAGGACAAACCTGTCCGAAATTCGGGGGTGCGAATTTTGTGTCCAAAGAAACGGAAATTGCTAAATGTGAACGAGTCGGAAGCTGGGTGCTCGAACAGTGAGCCCCAACCGAGCACGAGTCAAGGAAGCACTTCTGGAGATATTCTGCAAAATATTCGTCCTATCACTGAAGAAGTGAGGAATCGGTTTTTGCCGATTATCAAGTCGCTTCCTGCGTGTGATAGACCGAAATTAATCCGGTAAGTGGTTGAATACGTTTTTGTTGTTACACTAATTGATTATTAGACGTTTTGAGAATAGTAGGGCCCATGAAAGAATGAAGTTTAGACAAATGTGTCCCACTTTTATAAAAAAGCCGAATCGGAGACCAGTCCTTGACACTTCTTCTGATAGTAGTAGTTCGGACGACGAGCATGGGGGCACTTTACGTTCACGAATGCCAATAGATCTCACAACTAACACAACCAATCAAAACAGAAATACATGTACAACCAATCAAAACGATCGGGAACCGGAATGTGTTCACACTGCCAGCAGTAGTAACCCTCCCAGCAACCCTTCAACTTCAAGTTCAAACACTTCAAACATTAGTGGTGTCAGAAGTTTTATCATGGAGCTAGAACAATTACTAATGACAATTCTCCTGACCGAAATTGAAAGCAATGAAAGTCAAAACTCAGCATCAGTTAGTAATAATAATAACAGTCCTATAAATTTATCAAACACTCCTCCTGCTACAAGTAATCAGGACGAGCAAGTGGACAATTCGAATGTTAGGTCTTCACCGGTTTCAATGTCGGCGACTAGAGATCAGGATTTGATAAGGCCGAATGCGGTACCTTTGGGATTTGGTACTTTTCGAAGACTGATACAGAGACATGAGAATCAGGATCAGTCCGAATCCAGGACTCCGACTTCGAATTCAGACGAGCCCTCTCGGTCTAGCCCTGGGAGTAGTAATGGGATTTACTCAAGGACAAGTTCCCCAATTTATAACCGGACGTATCCCAGGCGGAGGCTGCCGGCTCATCGCATTTCGGCGTTTATGCCAACGAGGGTTAACTATAACAGAATTCCGATGAGATACAGGAGGGGTTCTTCGTTTAGATTAGGTGAGTTTTAACATCAAAAAGATTGAAAACACTTGTTTTGCATTACCAATTACGCCACTGGTAATGTGTATTCTTGTAATTAAACAAAAATTAATTAATGTTTTCAATTTCTAACAGGAAGTAGATTATCGGTCAATAGCACTTTCCCTATCGACGAGCTTATAAATTACTCTGAACGTCCCAACGCTGAAGACAACGTCCCACAAGACAATATTCCCGAAAGCAGCCCTTTAGTGCCCCCATCTGAGCCTTCTCCTTTCGTCAATCTGGGCAACATGTACTCAAACATTGTCCAAGATCTCGAATCTAGCCTAAATGACGTCAGAAACATCCGTTCGAGCACACGCCCGAGCGAAACCTCCGACATGCTAAGCAGTTTTTCCGAAAGCCTCGAAAACATAATGAACCAATCAGATACGATTTTGCGAAATTTAGGCGGTTCCATGTCGATGTTACCGAACTATTCCGAACAGAATGAATCTCGACGACGAGAAACATCTGAACCGCGAGTCAGTTTCAACGACCAGAATTTCTACATTCGGAGTAATTCACCGCAAGAGGCCTCTACTAGTGGTGGCGAGAGAAATTTAAGCGATGTGTTAGCAGGGGGTAGAAGTGTGGTCGAATCTGATCACAACTATCCTAGAAATCCTGGAAATAACCAAATACCTAATTCCGGCGAAAATATGTCACCTTTGATGACGTCCCTACATTTAACGATATCGTACATACAGAGACAAGCGCGACTTTTGAGGCACCAAGTCGAGAGTATTGAACGTATTGATAGGACAATGTTCGAAGTCGAACAATTGCAACTTATTAGACAGTTGATAACCGAGTTTTTGAGGTATGTAAGGTCTTTAGCTGGAGAGAGCCGCAGCACCGGTATGTCCAGCGTGAGACAAATGATGGCTGGAACTAGAATCAGCGATTCGAGTCCTTACGATTCACAGTCGGAAGAACAGCCCCAACAGCCCCCTCAACCCGTTCCTAGTTCGAGCACTTCGAACGATCAAAGTCAGCCACGACCAAGAACTTCAGGTCGAAAAACCTATCCACCATCGCGCCTTTTCCGCTTACAGCGCCACAATCGACGCTCATTATTTGTCAATTTTTTCCCACGAAGATATACGGGACGACCCGAACGCGGGGTGAAACACACCGGTCCTTGTCGTAACGCCCCCTCTAGAACACCGGCAGAAACAACAAATCCTCTCCGACATTTGTCTAGTCACTTATTGATTAATTCCTCGAGTTTGAATCTCATGGCGAGGCGACTTGAACATTTTTTAACCGAACAAACTCGACTCATTACGAGACCACAAGAGAGCAATACTGGGTCAATTCGGTCGACTGCTGCGACTGAATTGGGTGAAAGGATTTTATCAATTCGGTTATATGACTGTGTCATGCGGATGAACAGGATTATGGGTAACGGTTTTGACAGTAGCCGGTTTAGAAACACGAGGAGCGATTTGGTCGTTGTCACACAAGATGGTGCTTCGAGATTTCCTGCACGCCATTTTCTGAGTCTGATAGTTGACGGTATGAGTAAACATTTGGAGGAGTTGGCAGGATCTAATATATCTCAGAGTTTGCGAGGACAGATACATAGTGTTCTAGCAATGGCGCTTTTGCTATCAGATCTTTTATTATTACAATTGGTTGATTCGATTCCGCCACCTGCCGGTATGAATTTAGATGTGGAGAGAGAGTCGCTCACGTCACGGATTGATCAAATGTGTGGTCAAATGCTTCAAAATCGATTCAGTGGCCATTCACATCAATTGACGCGAAGTTTGCAACATATGAGATTGAATATGAGACGGGCATATAGGGCTTTGGGGCAAACATACAACGCAAGAAGGAATGCAATGTTGCCTAATAGACCTGATACGAATCGTAGACAATTACTTAATAGATATTTGAGGAATATAAATCTAAGACGGCAACAGAATCCCGGTACTGATCCCACGACATCATCAAGTGACACCGGCGCGAGAGAAAATTCGAATGTAGCTCCCGTTGCACCGGCTGAGAATACAGGAAACGAGAATGTAACCCGTGGTTGGAGCAGTCTACGTGATTTAATTATGAGATATTCGGATAACACTGGAGAGGATGAAGATGTTACAAGCTCGAATTCGAATCAGGACTCTCAGGAGCGGACTCAAAGATTCGAAACTGTCTCAAGTAACAACAGTGATGATAACGACGACGAGTCAGAATGGTACGTCAATAATAGCAACCGCAGTACTAATCTCTATCGCACAAACAATGTCAATTTGGTACATAATAATCCCGAAGAATCGAGTTCGAATCCCTCGAGACCTTGGAATGTTCCATCAGTGCAAGTAAATGATGTTCCGGTTCCGATTGCGGAACAACCTTCCCTATTCCAACAAAGAATTATGACACATCGGCAGAGATTGGCTGAGAGAGTTTCAGAATTGCGCACTTTTCCACAAATGGGCGGTTTGAGGCCGAGATTTTTGCACCCGCTTTATGCCAGTGTGAATCCGTTTGATGCAGATCTCGATGATCCACAAAGAGAGACTAATAATTACGACTGTGATATGATAACGACCGTTACGCCGAATCATAGAATCCAAATGTGGGATATTTCGTCAGGCAATATACCAGTTATTAATAATCGTAATAGTACTTTTATTTTAATAAAGGTTTAATTTAATTTTTGTATTTCTAGCATTGAAAAATCTTATTGTGAGCGAATGTAAAATCCACAATGACGCCAGTGTGGATATTGCTAAAGACGGGACCATTTTAGTGACCTTATTGCCATCTGGTGGTTATTTAAACGTAACTAACAAATTGGGTACATATTTTACACTGTTTTGGGGTACAGTTATTGAGGGAATTATTTCAGGAGTCTATAGTTTGAGATGGGACACTTTGGGTCAGTGTTTATACACTACTAGCTTTGAACAAAACGCAGTTTCGGTGGCTCTGTCGCCTCTGAGTCGACATTTGGTTGTTGGTTTGGCATCTAGGAGAGTGTCCATTGTCCCTAGTGATAGATGGACGATGGCACGGATTTTTATTATAGAACAGAAGAATGCTCCAGGAGATAGATTACCTGTTTTGAGGGAGTTAGGGCAAAATAGGGACAGTAGGGCTAATTACAAAAGCGTTAATTGTATTAGGTGGCTACCGACTTCAGGTCAAGGACTCATTTATGCTACAAATACAGGACAGTTGGTAATTTTAACGTAAATTACGCAACACTAATCAGAGTGGGACTGTTAGATAATTTGCTTTTATATTTATTTGAATAAATTAGGTTAGTTTTTGTTTGTGAGAACATATGAGCCTTGAAGTATTAAACGATGCAAGATTTGAATTGTTTTGTCATTTATATTTTCATTTATTATGCTCAACCATCTTAAATATCTCACTCTGCGTAATTAAAGATTATTTTTATAATACGTTCACGTTATAACGCACCTACTTGTAGATTTTGAAAGTTTTGAAATAATATTTTGTTTAGCTTTATAAAACTAAACAATAGATGTATGTAAATTCATTGATGATTTTATTAGCTACTCGTTTTTTGTGACTGCGACTACATAATAATATTTGCTCTTGTTTTTACATACTTATCGTGATATTTATTTCTAGTGATATGATTTTCTGCTAGGCAAAACTAATTAACCTTAATTTTATCAAATTTGTACATGTAGGTATTCAGATACACATTGATTTTTAATTGCCATTTTTAATTGAATTGTATTATTTTTTTTAATACGCTATCCCTAGTAGATTAAGATTTGAATTATGATTTTGAAGTAGGTAATACTGTCTTATTTGGTATTATTTTTTATTCTTTCCTATGATGATGTTTGCACGCAAGTGTTGTCTTTGTACATATTGTAATGTTGGTGATTAAGTACCTTTTTAAGAAATAAAAATAGATAACGAAATCGTTATTTATTATGTTTTAATCCTTCGAGTCCTAGAATCATTTAAAAAATAGTGCTCAAGTGGTCATTTAAAAAAACGCAGCAATTTAAAATTTAGTAACTTTTCGTTGATTTGATTGGTATTTGTATATGCTGTATTGCCGATCATTTTTTATGTTTCTTTTTGTGAATTTTGTAATACTTTCAAACTTATTTTGAATGTTATTAGACAATTTACAGCACAAAATAATATAGGGCAATAACACATAATTGATACATTGAGGTTCTTTCTTTATTTTTTTTATTTACGAAGAATATAAATATGGCAACCTCGCCACTTTAGAAAGTGACGTAAGAAATAATCGAGAGGGGTAACGTGTAATTGTGTTGTGCAAACAATTCGTGAATCGTGAGTGAGTATATGAACTTAAATCTTCAAATTCACGTGCAGCTTCTTTTATCTCACTAGTCCCATCGATGGGCGCTCCGATCCAGGGAAAAGGCAACAAACGTGGTCACGCAAACGGCTTCGGTAAATTGCGACAACCCCCGCGTCAGCCATTGAACGACAATTTCACACCATTCGATAGCCCCCCGATGATGCGGCCTCGCGGTCCTTTTCCTCCACTCCGCGGTCCGATGGGCATGCGACCTATGATGGTTCCCCCCAACATGCGCCCACCTCCGCCTCGCGGACTTCGTCCACCGCCTCCCCGCCTTCTCAGAGGACCCATAATGCCGCCCCGGATGATGGGCCCTGGCCCGCGCCTTCCTCCTCCACCCGGCATGCGGCCGCCCCCGCCTGGCATGCGTCCTCCGCCACCACATATAATGGGCCCCATGCGGGGTATAGGCTTCAGACGCGGGATGCCGCGCAAGTTCCCTATGGGGGCCTTCAAGGGAGTACAAAAAGGAAGAGTGATGAAACGGCGACGTCCCATGATCAAAGACATTGACCTGACGAAAGAGTGGGTTACGGATGCGATCAGGGAAGAGTTCAAAAAGAAGGAGCAGTTGTTGGCCGCGGCGAAGAGCTCGGAGAGCAAGGAGGCCTGGGCCACGTATAGGACGCAGAGGGGGAAGTGCAGTCAGATGTACCACGCGGCGGAAATGGAGTTCGTTGGGCAGCAGGAGGTGCGTATCCCTCAGCTCTTGCCCGCCACTAATTTCGCGCGAGTATCAGCACCTATCGATTATACAGCAGACGTCCACTTATAGGTATTTTTTATATAATCACATCCGTATGTACCCCATGCACTCTTCAATTGGGGCACCTTATTTTCAAACCCCACGTCACAACAGGCAGGTGCCAAAGCAAATGATTCCAAAACTTAGTATTACTTTTTGAGGAAATACGAAGAGCCGTGAAAAATTAGTTCCTTATTATTAATTAATAACCTAACTGGTGTTTAATTAATGGTTTGAATCACCACCAAATGCAACAAAATGTAGATGGCGTTTTGTTTGATGAGCTTCACATTTCCTCGTGTTGTGCCTCTCTGTGCTATTGGTACTTGCCGGCTTGGGTACATTAAATGATTATTAATGACTGGAGAGTATGTTTGATTAAAGTGCCCCGCGTGTCAATTGATTGTTTGGTAAATGCTGATAGTAATCTGTGTTTCATTATTTCGTTTCATTTATTTACATTTGTTGGGTCTCTTTCCAGGACGGTAGCAAAAAAGATATCGAGGCAGAGACGGACAAAAATTTACAGAATCAAACTAACAATGACACGTCTCAGCCTCCAACTGAGACCACAAATAGTGAAGTTGCTACAGCATAATTTTACAAAACGAGAGCAATTTTTCGTTTATTAATTGGCAATAAGTTCCTTAGACAGTTTAGTTTTTTTCTGGATTGTCTACATGGTTTTTGAATGTACATTTGTCTTTGTGAAGCACTTTGATTGTATTCAGATATTATTTGGCAGTTTTTTTTTAATGTATAACATAGAATTTCGTATTTGCAAAATAATTCAATTACTCTCCTGTTATTTGTGTTGTGATGCAATTTTATAATTTATACTCTAGTACCTTGCATTAGATGCTGAAGTTATTACCAACTATATTTGTAAGTTTAGATTCGTGTTGAAATAAAATAGTTTTTAAAAAACTTTGAAAATTTTGATTTTACCGTAATTAGACTGACTACAGAAAAAATTGTTAACCCAGTGGGCCGTGACAAGAATGTCACATCTCTGAGTAATTAAATACTCCAAATTAGTAATTTTTGTATGCATTGATCAAAGATTCGGCCTTGATTTGTCATGGACTTCTGCGTGACAATTTTTTACCCTTTGTAATACAGTAGTAATGTCAAGATTTGACCATTCGCACTTTTTTCTAAGAAAAATTTTGTTGTTGACTCATTTTTGCTCAAATTAAACAAGAATGTATTTTTTCTTATAAATATTTATTTTAGTTGAGCTTCAAGATTGTGTAATAAATTTTTTGTGAACGTAAAAAAAGTACGTATTTCGTGTCTCCAGTGTATATTGAAAATTGTGTCCAAAGACAAATTTGTTGGACTTTAATCAAAAATATCATCTCACTGTTCAAGAAACTCAAACGTTTTCTTGCAAAACATGGAAAATGCCCGTAAGTTATTCAATTTTTCATAAGTTATTAAAAATTAAAGCAACTTCAAATTGTCAAATTTTGCAACTACTATTTTCTTCTTTGTTAGACGACATGTAGCAATTCTTCCATTATGTTTGTGAGTTTGGTGCAACATTTTTACAGCATTTAACTAATAAAAATCACCATCACAGGTGACCTTACAAAACAAAAAAATCATAGTAGACCCGATCCCGTAAATTTTTATCATTGGGTTAGTTTTTGAATGATTTACTAAATCGTGCTTTTTTTAAAAATGCTTCTTAACATTAAAATCTGGATTAGTTTCCGGGTTGCACCAAACGGCACTCCACTCCAAATTAAAAAATGTTTAATTTTAATTTTTCTGAAACCAGACTAGCGTACAAGAATGGGATGAATTCGATTACGAAGAAAATCCAGAACCTAAAGAAATTTACTTTTGTGATGTTTGCGAAGAAGATTTTTACACGAAAGAATCTTACGAGAATCACATGTCGCAACATCGAATATGCGGTTTGGATGGATGCCAATACACAGCGCCTCAAAAAATGATCGAAAAGCATATCCAAATGCAACATTTAACTGGCCTTTATGAAAAAATACGAAGCGTTAATACACCCGAAGAAATCGCAAAATGGATCGAAGAACGAAAAGTTAGATATCCAAGTAAGGAAAATGTTCAAAGAAGGTACGAAAGACAGGAAGAAATGTTGAAAAGAGGGGAGAAAATTGGGGAGAGGAAAAATCGATTCGGAAAGGACAGGACCAGACGTAAGAGTTTTGTTTGTAAATTAATCAGGTTTTCTTATTGTTATTTATAGTGTCACGAGTCAGACAGAGAAGACAAGTCCGGAAAAACGAGCCAAAGATTCTGAAAACATCTGAACAGCCGAAGAAATCCCTGATCGATGAAAAATGCGACTGGAATGGAACAATGTTTCCGTTTGGAGGTACCAAAGAATTATATAATGAAGAAGTTGAAAAGGAAACTAGTGATTACGATGATGAGGAATGGATGGATACTTCAGGCAAAGTGACTGTTGAATTAAATAATGCGTTGGGAGCATTGATGGGTGCGTATGAGTCCGATGAAGAAGAAGAGACTCCTCAGAGTCACTCTGTTGTTAATGACGCTCCAATTGAAGAAAAAATACAAAGAGAACAAATAGAGTATCCAAATGAGCAAGTGAATGACACTAAAGTCATCAAGACAAATAAGCGTAAAAGATTTTCTAGTGGTAAGAAACAAAATAAGCTTGCAAAGGTACAGAATAACAAACCTGTTCAGAGTGGCTTTTCTCGAATGAAATTCGTTAAACGTAGAGTAACTTTATTGGAAAAATTATTAGATAGTGAAATAAGACATGAACGCAATGTTTTGTTACAATGTGTACAGTATGTCGTCACTAATAATTTCTTCAGATAATAGAGTTAAAAGACTGTGATCACTCAATTTTTACGCAATATATTTTTATTAAGTAGAAGTTTTTTGTCTTGCCCCCCACACAAAAAAAAAACATTGTAAAAACAAAATTTTATTTACATTTTCCTAACATACTGTCTTAATACTTATAAAAATACAAACAACTGCTTAAACGGGTGTTCCATAATTAGGCTAGTGGTCGGTTTGACAAATAGTTGAATAAACCTGGAATGTAAAAAAATGCATTTATTGCGTTGCATTTTTGCTTTTCAAACAGAAGTTTAATGATGCATGTCAAGCGTAATGAAGGATGTAAACATACCGATGTTAAATTTAGACTAGTGCCTGCCAAATGTGATTTACAGTGTGCTCATTATTTGAAGATGAAAATAGGTCAGGGAGTTACACGAAGTACTTACAGATTTTACTGCAAAAGTCCAGCATACAGCACCCAAAGTGCTATCAAGAGAGCAATAAGAATCAAGTAGGTTGTGAGAAGGTTTCCGGTTTCGTTTGCGTTTGGCATGATACTGAAACAAGAGAATTAAATATTTAATCAATTGTTACCAATTGCACATTTCAAAATTTCGTTTCGGTGTAATTTACTTCCTTGGAAAAATTGAACGAGTGCCAGTATGGCTTTATTTTGATAAGCGCATAATTTGGCGACTTTAATGACAGAAACATTAGAAAATCAAAATTTATGATAAATGTCGGTTATTTTTAACCATTGCTCCAAAAACAAATTGGGATGGTTGGTGGTAATGGATCAGGATGGGGGTATCTAAATGTGTAACACCCACATTTCAAGTTTCAAGTCTTAAGATTGAATTATTTTAGACGGACTGGAATTTTTTTCTTAATCCTGTCATAACTATTTTAAAAATTAATTTGTTTCAATATAAATAATTTAATGTTTATTGGATATCCTCCAAAATCGATGTATTTAATGCTCTCAATCCATTTAAAAACATTTATTTTTAACACAGGTAGGTATGCAGTATGTTAACATAGCCGGACATGTTTATGATTTTATTTATCCAAATTATGCAAAGTCACATCTGCCAAAAGCTTTAAACTTTAAGTGCATCATATTTCTTACATATTGTTACCCACTTATCTAAAAGTGAAATATTTGTAGTTTTTTCTCTTTATTGGTGTATGTTTTATGGATAGATCTTTAATTAGTTTATTAAGCAACTTTTAATTTTGATGTTAATTAAGAGCGTAAAAATATCTTACCTAATCTTTCAGCAACACCGATTGGGAATCAAATATCCTGAGATGCTTCTAACGTTGGCGCTTAAGAGACTCTGCTTTCCAGAACCTAGTTGAACGCAGCACAACTTTTCAGCTAATGACGTATTATAGGGGGTGGGGTATACTTCATCCCAACCGTAAACAGTTTCCAGATATTTTCAAGTGTTGTTTTTGGGTTTGGTTATGCTCGAGTCATTTTTAGCACACGAAATGCGAATTTTGAGGTATTTTTTTGAAATAATTCATTCGCAAAATAGGTACCTACTTCACACGTAAACAAGTTCACTGTCATACCACTGGCATTGTTCGCTTGAGATATTTTTACAAAAAATGTAAATGTAAACTTTGATTTCATTTGTTAGACTTGAGGTAGGTTATAGTAATACGCTGGGTAAAAGCTTTTCTTCCAAGTACAAATCAATTGTAATTTGGCGACCGTTGTGAAGAAACAAGTTTTTGAAATATCAAAATACACTTATCACAAGTTTTAGCAGTGGTTTAGTTTATACACTGCGTTGATGCATGAGTTAGAAGCGTTTGTAATGAATTATAAAAAATATTATTAGAAGACAAATTAATTTTAAATGCAGTGAAAAAGCTAGGAACATCTGTGTCAACTCAATGGAAAAAAACAAACATCAGATTCAAGTTATCTTTTTTTTTGAAACATTTTAATATATAATTAATTTGTTGACAGGCAACGCAGCCAATGTGTAAAAACTGGGTAACAATATTAATTTTCAATCATAACAAACAAAATCTTTCGAAAATAAACTCTTGTTTACATATGTATATATTGTTTTTGATCGTATGCCAATGATTCAACCAAAGTTATTAATTACTTCTGTGTAAAAAATCATTACTTTCTTTTCAAGTATTAAATAACTAACTTTATCTCATTTCGTATATTAATTAGGAGTATAACAATTTGATTCGTCATAACAAATTGTGAATGTTTCTGGCACCGTTCCTAGAAAAATTTTTGATGTTGTTGACACTGTTTATTTTCAACTCCCAATCTATTTTGAAAATTTTAATGTTATTTCAAGCGATTCGTTATTCATAAACCAATCCCGAAAAATAAAACACGTTCGTTTATAAAATTTATTTTTTATCAAAGTAAATGTAATAAATCTTCGCCGTACAATAAACTAAGTGCTAACGCCGTCAAACATGCTAACTGCCAATAATAGATTCCTCCTTGTAAAGTGAAGACTGATCAATGGCGAATTCTTCGTCGCGAAACTTCTCAATAAATAGTCATCTCCGATCCTCACATCGGGATTATGCGACACATTAACCTCCTCTGAACTGATTTCCTCTGTCAGTTTTGTAAAATCCCAAACTTTGAGCATACAGTCCAACCCTCCTGAAACCAGAATATTCCCGCATCTGCTGAAAGCAAGTGCGTGGATGGGTTTTTCATGACCGGTGAGTTCTGCAACCAAGTGTCCATGGGACAAGTCCCAAACTAACACTTTACAATCCACCCCCGCGGATGCTAAAAACCGCCCACACACGCTGAAAGCCAAAGACATTATGGGAGATTTATGGCCAGTCATAAGTCGGACATGATTTCCCGTCGTGCAATCCCACAAACAGACGCGGCGGTCGCTGGAGCCGGTAGCAACGTAATTAGAATTCGGATGAAACTGGACGCACTATAATCAATTTTTGCTGTAAAAATATCTTTGAAAACACATGGTTAATTTATTACATCGACGTCGGAGAAATGACCGGCGAATAATCGCAAAGGTTGATAATGGTCTGTGGCCCAAAGTCGCGCAGTGCGGTCATATGAAGCTGAAGCGAAGTAATAACCCAAAGGAGAAAACTTGACGTCCCAAACGGGGAACATATGACCCTTGTAAACGACCAGACAAGTCCATATTTGCAACGACCATAATCTTATTGTGGTGTCTTCAGAACAACTGAGGAGTAGAGTCCTGTCTGGTGAAAATGATACCGCATAAACAGGCCCAGAATGACCATAAAGCGACCTGGAAGTTTCACCGGACCTTTCATCCATCATTCTCACCTGGAAATTAAAAACATGTTGCCCAAGCTTTTGGAACTTGGCCAAGGCCAAGTAAATTGATATTTGTCAGATTTCTTTAAGTACAGTTTAAATGAATAAAAATGTTACACAAACGGCAACGACTTATTTTTGTCGATATTTATTCAGATAAGTCCTGAGTAATTTAATAATTCGGGATCGACTTTAACTCTAAACATTACCAAGACATCCTCGGCCTCAACATTGACATCCTCCAGCTGCTCAGCACTTTTCATAGCTTTCAATTTTTGAGGTACAAGTGTCCAGACTTTGACAATGGAATCGCTAAATCCCACAGCTAACATACTTGAATCTTCAGTTATTTCAGCACAGTTGACCCTGTAAAACCCCAGACAATGAAATTATTTACATTAAGCAAGCCCAACTAACGTGTGATTGGCATTTAATAGAGTGTAACAACAAACTGAAGGAAGGTAATCTGGTCCTAAAGTAACTCTTTTTGACGCTTCTCTATACGCTTTTACTTTTTCGTATTTATCATTGTCTCTCAGGTCTGGGACAGGAATTCTGTCAGGAGGTGGGGCGTTAGGGTCATTTTTTGTTTTCTTTGAGAAAAGTGGGTCTTTTTTGGCTTTCTTTTTCTTCGGTTTGTCAGGATTATCCTGATCGCCACCCTCTTCCTCATCTTCGACAGGAGCTGCTAGTGCTTGAATGTCGGGGGCTTTAGGGATGCCGTAATAGACTTTGGTTTTATTATCTAAAATTTTAACTATTGTAACTGAAATTAGATATATAAAGACGAACCTTGGCGTTTTGCTTCACCCCCTACGGCACCTGAAGTAGCATCAATTTGGCTTTTGTTTCTCGCTACGCCTTCATACATATCAAAGTAAAGATGTTCCTGAATTATGTTTAATAAAACTGAAGCTTTTTTATCGTTTAAATGACGTTTTAAAAGTGACAAAGTGTCACGCGACATTCTAATAATGAATTGGTTTGATTTAAAGGTATCTGTCAATTCATTTCCGTTCATATGATCTCGTTTTGTAACTAAAGATAACTTCCTAAGATCCTCTTGATAGTATGAGTCTTGTTCAGGGCCAAATTTTTTCATCAAATTTATCGCTTTTTCTGTATGTCCATTATAAACTAGTTCCAAATACATGTGGACTAAAACTGGGTACAAAATCATGCCTAACTCGTGTTTGTAAATATCAAGGGAGCCCTCCACAAAACGTTTCAATTCCATGTATGAATCTTCATAGGTTTCTGGATCACCGTCACTTTTGTACCCCGTTAAAACGCTACTAACGTCTGAATTTTGTTGCAAAGGACCATCAGCTATATTATTACCAAGATTAGCCTCTTTTCTTAGCAGTTCCTCAGTGCTCTAATAACAAATGTTACACATTACATAAAATGGGGACAGCTTCGCCTACCTTCAAATTGTATTTTTTCAGAATTTGCAGAACGGCTGCAAGTTGAGATTTATCCATGTCTTCGGTACTCATTTACACAATTTTTTTTTTATAAATAAACAAACTAGTTCAATACAAAATATAACAAAAACTAACTTTTAACCTCACTTTACTACAAACGTCAAATAACAAAAACAATCAATCCCAAATTCCCCCAAAGCCAACCAAATCTCATTAAATTCTTTTAAAATATCTGTTTTACTTATATCACTTTTTGCACTATTTATAAACAATCCAAAAATTTGACGGTTATAGAAAAAGTGATATGAGACTTGAAAACGCACGTTGTTTTATATTTTTCAAGTGAAAAGAGGAAGTAAGAATAGTTTTTAGGGGATTTTAAATTTATGCATTGTAGTGGCACCACTTTTTTCTTAACCGCCACCCGCCATATTTTCAGCGCCATTATTAGTGGGTTTTGTACATGCTTTTGTACGCCGGTGGTTTGTGGAGGCTTTTCTAATATTTCAACAAGCAGCATTGAAAGTATGGAAATAATTATTTCAATTCATTATTCATTAAATTTTTATAACACAGCATTTTTGTAATTAAGTTTTATGTAAGCAATCCGTTGTTCCAGCATTGGCATCTTTTCACCGGTTAATCGGTTATTCGTTATGGCAAAGAAGAAGGTAGAAGAAAGCGAGAGCGAGGAGGAATATTCAGTCGAAAAGATTATTGACCGGCGAGTGGTAAACGGCAAAGTTGAATACTTTCTCAAGTGGAAAGGTTACTCTGAAGCTGATAATACTTGGGAGCCAGAAGACAATCTTGACTGTCCCGATCTCATAGCGGAATTTGAAAAATCAAGGAAAGCCAAGGCGAAGAGGTCTTCCACTAATAAAAATGTAGACTCAGATAATGACAAAAAAAAGGTGAGTTTTGGAAACTGAAATTACTGAAGTAAAATGAGTTGATATTTGTTATTCATACACTAAATGAAAATAAATTACGCTCATATTGTAATTTAGGGGGAAAGAAGCAGATTTTTGTTTTTGTTTTGTCAAAAAATTGACAAACAAGGAAAGGCTCTGTTTTACTCTGGCCCCATTTTGGATACAGCGATATTTCTAGTTTATCAAATGATGTGCTACATAATTTTTTATTTCCAGAAAGAAAAAAAACCCAAGGATGATGATGAGAAGTCCGAAAAGAAATCAAAAGGCAGGCCCAAAAAGCATGCAGTAGAATCAGAAGACTCTGACGGCGAGCCAAAATCTAAGAAAGTCCGCCGTCGCTCAAATTCCACAGAAGAGAAAGAAGATCCTAAAAAAGATGCTGATTCTGATGATGAAAACAAATCTGATTCATCTGTTGGGGAGGAAAAATCAAAGAAAAAGAAAAAAACAGAGAAAGATGAAGAAGAAAATGAGAAATCTAAGAAAAAACGAAAGTCTGAATCTAAATCTGACAAGGGAAGGGACAACTCTCCATCCAAGAGTAAACAAAAAATTGGCTTCGAAAGGGGCTACCAAGCAGAAAAAATTATAGGAGCATCAGACAGCACAGGCCAACTAATGTTTTTGATGAAATGGAAGGGCACTGACGAAACGGATTTGGTGCCGGCTAAAGAAGCAAATGTGAAATGCCCACAAATTGTAATTCAGTTTTATGAAGAACGTCTTGCTTGGCATACTCCTGATGAGTCTTAAATTACTTTCATTCGTTTATTTCAGAAAAATTCTTTGTTTTAGTTATATGTAAGGTAACAATAATTGTCCATCAAGTTAGCTTTAAATGATTTTCAACAAGTGGGCTAGAGCAACTTGATGGAAAATCATTTATTAATTGTGTATGTGCATAGAATCAACCTATTCTTTATGAGTGTTTCGTTTTTTTTTTTTTTTGTAATAAAGCATAAGCATACTTAGTTGACTAATTATTGAAAAGGAAATTTATGTAATACTGCCATACAAGTATATTTTTCAAATAAAACACTTGTAAAAAATTATAATTTTTGTAAATAAACCTAAAAAATTTAAAATAAATTAAGAATGGGACAATGTTTGTTCCGCTTGTGGTGATATCACGTTCATAATACTCTGGAGTATTTCCGTCAATCTTCGAGATGCTCGGTTGAATTTTTCCGGTTTATTTCTCCACTTCACACATAAATAATACACTGGTATACCTAAAAAATACGTTCATTTTTTGTATGAATTATAAAATATAGTACCTGATAAAGTAATAACAACACCAATTACTGTATTCCACGGCTGCGAGGGAATAGGAAATATCACAAGAAACGCGCAACAGAACAAAAATATAATTGGAATACTCATATTCACTTTAATCGGCCTTGGCATATCGGGTTGCTTGTATCTCAGCCATAACATTCCCGCAATGCTGGCCGCAACGGAAAACCATAGTATTTGTCCGTAGTAATTTATCAAAACGAAGACATCACTGACTAAAAGCATTGCTAAAGAGGTGACACACTGAAAATATCACAATAATATATTTCTAAACACTAAGGAGGGGTAATAATACTGTAAATATCAGTGATGGTATAGGCGTCATCCGTTTAACGTGAATGAAGGAAAACAAATCGGGGAGATGTCCTTCTTGAGATCCTGTTAGAAATAATCGCGAAGAAGTAAAAAGAATGCCATTAACACCACCGAAAGTAGACAAGGCGACGAAAATTGGGACTAGCCAATGGAAAGAACCGAACATTTTGATGCCGAAAGAGACAGCAACAGCTGGTGAACTTTCAATTTCCACTCCTGATAAAACGGTGAAATAGGCAACGTTTGCAAGGACGTAAACGCCGGTCACCATTGGGAGGGCGATCCAGATGGCACGAGGAAGGTTCCTGAAAATGTGTGCTATTATTTTTAGACAATATATTTAATTACTACGATGTTTTAGTAAATACTAGAATTTGTTATTGGAAGACTGAAAGCATTTTTATAGATCATTAAGATTGGAGTGAACTATAAATCTCCATGTGAATTAACGTAGATTTAATAAGAAAAATAAAATTGATGTTTCAATAAACCAAAATTGGAAAAAAATTATGATACGTTGCGTAAGCTTAAGTATAATAGGATTTCAAAAAAGCGATACAACCCATCAACTTTTATCATCATATTTTCCAAGACCGTGTGTATTTCAATTTAATGGCGTAAATTCTCGAACTTAATTGCATTCTTCTACCATTTCGAAAAGTAGGACGTACAAGACGCATCCTCTTCCGCGCTCTCGATTTAAGTAACTCAATCAGGTTAAAATCACGTTCGATTTATAGCAGATGCTTGTAAAAAGAACTACAATAAAAGACTTTTAAGCTGGCGAGAAAACCCGATAAAAAATACAATGTTTAATTCAAGAATCCCTTCATCCATTTAAAGATCACGTCACAGGTTTCTCTCTTCCGTTTCCGAATTGTAAACTTGCTAAAGCGGTCTTAGACAATTAAGCTCTAATTCAACCTTTTGACGTTCATTTAAACGAAGCTTGTTAATCAGATTCGTCTCATTTATCGTCATCTATCAAAGTCGTATTGTGTGATCCAATGATTGAATTATTTCGCTTGAATGTGTTAAATGAATCGCATACTCACTTGTAAGGGTCTTGGAGTTCTTCCGTTACAAAATTGAGGAAATTCCAGCCTCCAAAAGCGAACAGTCCCGAGTAGAATCCCAGTGCAAGTTGAGAAATTTCGTAATTTCCCTCAAATGCATTTTCGAAATTCTCAGTGTGGTCTGCAAAAATTTCAGTCGTCGAGGTCACCAATTCGTGCGACACCAATTCAACTCAAGAAATTAAATATTTGACCGTATAAATGCATCGTCTATTACTGAGTCGGGACAAACAGAATTAATTTGTTAACTCAGGGCGAGTCTGAATTTACGATCCAATGAAATATTAGAATTGCTTGGACGAATGATTATGCACTGTGTAGGATTGCGAAATTAAAAATCGATTTTAAGTGTGTCAAGATGTAAAAAGCATCAAGTGAATGGAATTTCATATTATATGTGATCACGCACAATCGGTAGCGACTTAACCACTCTAATTTATTGTTAATTTGTAGAGGTACTTACTATTAATTGCTACATCGTAAAGTCCTGTGAGAATGATTACAATCAGAGCTAATAGCTTAGCTGCAGTAAAGACGCTTTGTATTCGCATAGCCCATCTGACGCTGAGACAATTAACTGCCGTCAGAAGACCTGAAAATGAAAACAATGGCATTTTATCAGAGATTTTGTTGGATTCCGTACAATAATTGGAAAAAAGTTTAAATGAAAATTGGAAATGTGTCAAAAGTTTAAACACCATTCCATACATAATACATAATTATTATAGTAATAAATATTTCAAGTTTATGAAATCTTGTTTTTCTTCAAATTTAATAATTTTAATAATTTAATTTAATAATAATATTTTTAAAACCGCAGTTTTGTAACTACAGTACCTATAATGAAAATCAAATAATGATTTCTAAACATTTTCTTAATTTTTTTTTAATATTAACAATGTTTATTTTTAAAGCTTTTACTGTTAACTCAAGACTAGAGCATTTTCTAAGATGCGTTATCCGACAAAAACTTTTAATTCTCGCGTGGAGAACACTGCTGCTTAAGAAATAAAATCAAAATTATACAAAATACCACTAGAAAATAAGAGAAAATCAAAATTCGTTATTGAAAAAATCCCAAATACCTTAAATTGCTACAAACTAATAAAACATTCGATACTTGCATAATAAAATAAACATTAGAACGTTCAAGGTTATATTTTTTTACATAAAAGAGTGACTGAAACAACTTTTATGCCTATGTGAAAATGCAATAGGTATGTTTACAGACATACTGCTAGTATTAATAATAGTA